GGGGGTTCAGTCATGTGTCTGGATGGATTCGCTCTCGCTTGTCTATCGCCCTCGCGCGTGCGACTAGCTTCTGTCTGCGTGGGGGAGGGAGGGGAGGGTTTGCGGGACTGGGGTGTGCTGATGGGGCGGGGATTGATCCCTCCTCCCCTTGAGCCTGTTTGAGTCTGCGTGCTGATGGGACTGTATTTGTATGAGTATCACGGACACACAGACGAGTGTTACGGTTAATGACAGTTTCCCTTCTTCTTTCCTCACGATTCTCACGATTCTTCCTCGATCTTCCTCCTGTTTTCTTGCTTCCTTGACTCCCTTGCCATCTGGGGGCAACTACCCCCCATTTTGTGCAGATTTAGGTTTCACGTCAACGGCTACCCTATGTTGCAACATGGGAGAGATGCTGGCATCTCCCTCCCTTCATCAGCGCAGCGGTATATCATCAGCAACGAGGCGAAATGTCCTTCAGTGTCATGTTTCTTCTCGTGCGTTCACTGTCCATGTGTCATTTCATGCCACCCTGTAGCATCTCCCGCCCTCTCCATAGTGACCTGGCGTCTTTCCACTGCATTCCATCATACCGTTGGTCTCTCTGCTCTTGTGTCGTCTCTCCACTACGTCGTCTCTCCACTACATCGACAGGCTAGTGAATGATACAACTTGTACCCGGAAAAACTTGGTGGGGAATGACTTAGTAGAGAAACCCTGGCTCTTTGGGGTCAAAAGCTCGCACGAGAGCGACACTTTGACAGGCATTTGTCAGCGAAATCCGTCTTTAAGGTCGTCAGCGACGCCGTCGTCATCTGTTCATGAGCACACAGGCACGGGCACGTGAACAGGGCACTGCCTGTATATGTGTGTGTTGTAGATGCATAGGTAAGGCAGATTCACACAGGCGCCACATGAAGAAGACTCAGGGCACTTGGTGTTTCACGAAGACAGGAGGGAGGAAGGACATGCCTTCTTCGCTCTTGTCAGGCACGGTCATGTGAGTGAATGTATTGAAGGCCAGCCGACATCTCAGGTACGCGTGAAAGAGAGGACAGCGTCATATCCTGGTCATGTTTGCGTGTATATCCTGGTCAGACATAGAGATGCAAGCATCCATGCCCAGCAGACATCCTCAGGTATGCGCACATGACAAGGCAGGCACAAAGACAACGCTAGCAGCGATGAATTTGTTCATGTTCCGTGTTAGTCCTGCTTGGTGGTGTACTCAGTGTATTCCTCGGCGGTGCCCGAGAGATGTCGCCGCAGCTCGTCCAGAACGGAGTGCAGCTACTCTATCTTGTGAACTTGACCTGAATTACGATGAACCCTTCGCCAGGCAGCCATAATCACTCAACCTCGGTGTTCTCCCACTGTTTCGTCGACTGCGGCAAGCGCCCGTTCAACACATTCGGGCAGAGTTCGATTCGTAGGCCGGTTCGTCTGCGAGAAGGATCTTCTCCTTGACGGCAACCTGTGACATTAAAGGCCTTCTATCGTGTGCGGCTCATTACAGGCCATCGTATTCCAACAACACCCAGGTGCACTCGCTATTAGTCTTCGCTCCACGATGTAGGTCGTATGCTTTGAGCGCACCAGCACAAAATGAGTGGCTTCACGAATCGGTGTGTCTTTGCCTGCGTCTTTCGTCTGTTCAGTCAGTGTATTCTGCAACCACTGTCATGGATCACTGCTATCGGTGATGGGCTCTTGTATGCCACAAGAGGCAGCTGCATAGCATCCAGCCCAAGAGGCAGCTGCATAGCATCCAGCCGGCCCCACACCCCCCGACAACCAGAGGGGGGTGTGGCGGCCGGCTGGCCAAGCATACAAGCGTATGCATTGATATCCCCTTCTTGTGTGTACCTTTTTTGTTTCTTTTTTCCTGTTTTTGCCGGCGGTGCGTAGCATGCATGCTCTTTTACACGATCGTGCCTGACAATCGTCAAATTCGACATTGTTGACTTTTCTGTTCGAATCAATGAACGTCTGCGAATTCAAGCGGAGGCGAGGCATTAATGACCGCGGCCATTTACCATCAGTCATGGGGCCTTGGCCTTTCGTGGTGCTTCTGCACGAACCCCACTGCTAAACCCTAAAGTTCCCTTCCTCGTTTCTGCGTCTTCTCCACTGGCTATGCAAAATATTCCTTAACCAACAAATACAGGACAACTCCTACATCTACGCATTTCAGGATCGCCCCAAGTTGCAGTCGGGCGACTCCCAGTTCTCGTCCCCGTCTAGATCATTGCATGGATTATGGCACGTATTGCGCTCTACAACGTCAAGAGGTGGCAGGTCTTTCTCGGGTTGTTTGGTCTTGTACGACAGGCCGTATCCGGAAGGAAAGAGCAGTCGCTGCCCGTCGCCCATGCGGATCTTGAACTGACATGGGTGGGAAGGCCATGACATGGACAGACGGCCTGTGAAGTCCACGTTTCCAAAAAGAAGGTCGGTGAGGCCACGGCCGGCCTGTTTGCATGGCAGCCAGGCCGGGATGAAGGCTTCCGAGAGGTTTATTTCTGCGTTGACGTAGAGCGGCCTGCTTGAGTACAAAATGGTAATTATTGGGGCCGTGCGTACGTTGTCGCGGCCATTCTTGAGCCGCACAAAGTCCTCCGGGTACGTGTGCCTGCCGGATCTGGATCTGCTTCACGCGCAACCCAGAATACGGCTCATCAACCGCTACATGGCTAAAAATATGTGCGTACTGGTTTCGATGGTGCATGAGGTTTTCCCCATCGTCAAAGTCACCATGGATCTCGGCGTAGGGGTCCTCGGCGATAACATGAATAATACATTAATAATGACGTCGTAGCCGCTGTTCCGCAGGCCTTTGCCTTCCTCGTCGTCGACCACTGTGTATTTGTGGTTCTTGCTGTGCTCCTGGAGGCCTTTGAGTAAGCTTATGGTATTGTCCACCTTATCAAAGGCGCCGTCGTTGGCTGGATAAAGTGAAAACACCCTCCAGGGCTGCCTTGTTGATGTGTAGTTTGTGAGCTCACTTTGTCCTTGCCAGCCCATGGTCCATCCCCCACAAGCGAGATACGTCCATCGTGCTTTGCCCATCACCAACACCCTCATGCGGGCCGTGGCTTCAGCGGCAACACACCGCCATTGTTCTGCTCACACCACATCCCGCACAAATAACGCATTCTCATCATGTCTCCTGACTCACTTCGAGTCACCTTGAGCAGCACCGCCGATTCTTGCACGGCTTCTCTGGCAACCGCCGTGTGCTCTGGGCTGCCGATAGTGGTATGTTGACGCGGCCTATCCTTTCCAGTGCGTCAACGCCCGGTCCGATCATGCCTAGTCGGGCCTTGAGGCGCAGCACTCGTCTGGCGGCGTCGTCGATGCGCCACTGCGGCATGGTGCCGTTTCTGGCGGCCTGGAGGGTGTTCTCGATAAACTTGGGGTAGTGCTCGCCACCCACTGTGGAGATCAGAAACATGTCGATCTGACAGGCAGCAGACATACATACATTTGATACGCATGAATGCTATACGTATGTTGTACCCCCGTGTTGATCCCTTGTGGGCAGCTATCGGATGTGCATGAAGGTATGTGTGCGTGCGCGTTCCAGTCGCTCATGACAACCCCATCGAAGCCAAAGTGGTCCTTGAGGATCTCCGTCAGGTAGTGGTAATACTGGTGCATCTCTATGCCGTTGATCTCGTTGAATGAAGGCATCGTGCTCATCACCTCTGTCAGGCGAGAAGGCAGGCACACATGCTCATCACCTCTGTCAGGCGAGAAGGCAGGCACACATGCTTTGGTCAAAGAAACCTGTGGAATACTCGCTTTAAAACACCCTATGAAGGGTCTGAAGTGGACTCCGATTAGCTCGTCCTCCCCCATTTGGGTGTCGCCGTCGAGGACACCGCCGAGTGTACCTGCACATATCCATCAATTCATGTGTTCTATGGCGGTACGTGTATTCGTGTCTCACCGCCGTCACCCAAGAAATGCTTCCACATGACTGCCACACCAGTGTCGGTCCCCGCGCCCTCTTGCAGGCCGTTTATGTACGCCTGAGCCATCGAGTACGTGACAAGCCAAAGCATCGACATGGAGGACTTTGTATGTGCGCTGTCGATTGTGTTATCTGGACCTCAACAAGGTCAGCCGTCCAGATAACTCATAGGTCCTACCCCACCTATAGTCAGTGGAGACGGCGGTGATAGGGGCCAAATTCCATGTGAAGCCCACGGCGCGCAGCTCCAGAGCAGTCACACGACCTAAGAACACGTAGAGAAAGATTGTGATCCCCGCGTCTTTCTGTCTTTCTCGCTGCATGCACCGATTCGTCGCATGAGGTCTGGATCGCTGGCGCATCCCAGGCCGATGTTATGGGGGAACATGGTGGCCTCGGAATAGTGTTCAGGTCGTGGACAGCATCTACAGCAGTAATGGACGGAATGCCCAAGCGACGGCCCTTTTTGCGTCGCATCGAGTGTAATGGTTCTTTGTCGTTTCTTGAACGACCGTGGCATCTTCCTCTTTAAGCGGCCACAACACGTTGACATTGTACTTCTCAAGTGATGTGGGCCCCTCGCCGACAGGGTCAGTGCTGATGATCATCTGGCTGACTTTCTCCGAGTTAAACATCTTGGCCAGCAGACCATCGATATTAGTCCTCCATGGGGGCGCTCAGCTTCAAGGACTCGGCCACGGACCCTCTCACTTTGGGTGGGTCGGGCCACAGACCACACGACCTACATCCACACAATCGATGCACACATGTATCAGCATGTACGCACTGACCTTGGCCCACACAGTTCGTCTGGGGTGAGGCCAGTGGTCTTTTTCTCTTCGGTAGCATGCAGAGTGCATAGCTGCGTGCTGTAGTCGTAGCTAAAGACGATGCAGGCCTCGTATTGCTGACATAGGGCCTGGCACCTGAATGGCGTCGCAACAGATCCCAGACTGATAACATCGATACGCGTGGCATAGTAGTGGCACCCCCGAGCGATACTGCCATCCACAAAACAAATCATAATCACACTGTTATCTTTCGAAATGTTCCTGATGTCACATACCAGCCCCCGATCAGCTCCTCTGTCCCGCCTTCTGTGCTTCGCTGTCCGTCCGAGGTGCAATATTTTGGCCCTGATGTAGCGAGATTGCTCTCTTGCTTATCATGTTGAATGTCGGTCAGCTTGTCGACCCATGATGGGAACGCGTGTCGACGGACTGTTACACGCGGGAGGGGCCCCCAGTACTGGGAGGCGATCGGCCAGATGGAGAGCATAGGAAATTTCCGGGCAACAAATATGCACACTTTTTTAAGAGCGTTTTGCCGATGGAATCTGTATGTCAGAAGGGCCGGACAAGAGGGAGACGCCAGAGGGCGGCGGAGAAGCCACACGTGGCCTACGAGAACGCAAAACAGCAGCAGTGTGATCATACGAGCGCACGCAGCTAGAAGTCCGTTTCACTCCGACAAAAAGTCCGTTTCTAATATAGTGCCACGCTCGCACGCTTCGCGAGTCCCGAACGGTCTCCTAGCGTGCAGACCAACGGCATGGATAATGTAGGCCACATCTGGAGCTTTTATGTTCTCCTCTGCTTCTAATTTTTCACTGGAAATGCCGGCTGGCGGAAAGCCGAGCGTTCATGTTTGTGTTCACGACCCCCCAAAATCACCAGCTGGGGGAGTGCTCTAGGCTACTTTTCTTCCTGGGTGTCCGAACGGTCCTTCCGGGGTTGCCAAAGTCGGCTCTCAACTTGCCAAAGTCGGGAAATCTCAGCTTGCCAAAGTCGGCTCAGGGGAGTCGGCTCAGGGGAATTTCAGCTTGCCAAGATCTCTCTATCTCGCAGTCAGTCGTTCTTCAGCCGTCAGCGACTCCTCCTTTTCCCTCTCTCCTCCTTCCTGTCAGCAGCGGATACAGCAAGGGCGTCGCCCGACGACGAGAACACACAATTGCTGCCCGCCGACATCCACAGGTACTCATTCTCGTACGGACACACCTCACTCCCCGGTTCACATAATCTGGTCATCTGTTCCTATCCCTGTGACTCTGTGTCTATCAGGCAATCGTTTGTGGCCAATGATGCATCCCCGCTGCTGATGCCCTGAGCAAAAACCCGTCGCCGTACAATGCAGAAGGCAACGGGGCCTGACTCGAAAGGATGCAGCGACAGATTCGGCCTCCAAGCACTCAGTAATGCCACAGGAGCACGACAGCAAAGCCCTGGCCGTAAGAGGAGAAAGCTACGTACTCACTTCTCAGCAGTCATGTGCCTGTGCGTGAGTGTGTTCCTTAGCAGACAGTCACCCAGAACTGCCCGACAGCGACGGCCGCCAGGGTCGCCAGCGCGAATCGACACAATACAAGCGACTTGCGCTCCAAACGCAAAGCTAGCATGTCTGCCCGTGGAGCCAGCCCTGCAGGTGGATGTCCAGCCCTGCCGTCACAAGGCCAGCCCTGCAGTCAGAAGGCTAGCCTTGCAGCCATAGGGCCAGCCCTGCAACCACAGGGCCAGCCCTGCAGTGAGTCAAAACCCTCCAGAAGCACTTAAATCGTCCCGCAGAGGCTAGCCCTGTGGCTGCAGGGCTGGCCCTGTGGCTGCAGGGCTGGCCCTATGGCTGCAAGGCTAGCCTTCTGACTGCAGGGCTGGCCTTGTGACGGCAGGGCTGGACATCCACCTGCAGGGCTGGCCCCACGGGCAGACATGCTAGCTTTGCGGGGGCAGGACCAGCTTTGGAGCGCAAGTCGCTTGTATTGCATCAGGTGAGGTACCACGTGCTACACACGCCACACACACACACACACACACACACACATCTCCCACACAACGACGCCTCTCTCATCTGTGTCTGCAGAGTTTGGAGACGTCATTGACACAAACGACAAGGACGCCGTCCAACGATGGGCTGCTGTCGTCAAGGCTCTGGGCAAGCACCTCAATAGCGTGGACCAATCGGCTTTCGTGCCAATAGGCTCGAGATCAAGAAGGCACACTCCTCTCATTGGTCATTTTTCGTTGAGAGAAGCTATCTGCACATGTTTGTTGATCTGCGCTCGTTTGTCCGTCCTCCTCGTGATCCGCCCTGCATGGTTCATGATTTGTGTATTTCATCCTCACTGCACAATACCTGCCGTCCCTTCATGATTTGTGGTGTGCGTCTTCTGCTTACCTGTGCGGTATTCTCTGTCTCTTCGTCTTCGTACCTATCTCTCATGACACACAGCTACAAAAGGGAGAAGGACATGCATGCAAATGCTGAGTGAGCACATGTGTCCTTTTACTCATCGCATGAATGGTGTGATGGACGTCTTCGTTGGACACATCCGCATTCTCCGTCAAACGCGCAATCACCTCAATCACTTGGGGGGTCGTGCATCGCGCTCAGCTTGCTGGGCGCCTTACTTGTCGTGTCAAATCATTCCTCTTTCGTCCCCAGATACCAGCCAATCCGTCTCTAGACAAAAATGGCATGTCGAGTCGTCACATTATCGACAGGCTCCACACGTCAGTGAACGTGGCTGCACTCTATTTTTCCAACGGCTAACGCTGTCAACAACGCGGAGGGCTTTTCATTTACTATCTATGTCATCTATATACGAAGAAAGAGGGATCGGAGCAAAAGATGCACTTTGGGCTGATTTGGCTGTGTAAGAATGATCGTCGACAAGGTCATTTTGCCTCGGATTTGAGACTTGCATTGGCAGGTGTGGCGGGGGCATTGGCGATTCCCTGCAGCTGCAACCCGTCGCTCCGTCGGCGCCTCCAGGGAGTGACCACTGCGCCGCCCCTCGTTGGGACTGAGGGGGACGACGGCGAAGCTTCGAAAGGCGGCTATCCCCGGAACAAAGCTTTCGAGGGGACCGACCTGGCGGACACCATGTATGCGCTCGGCGGGGATGATCTCGTGAGAGGCAAGAACGGGGATGATACGATATTTGGAGGCGAGGGAAATGACGTAAGCTAGGGGAGTGTCGGGGCCAGGCCGGTGACAATACAGTCGACGGTAGGCGCTTCCTATTGCCCAATGCCGTTGTGCCCATCTGGCTGTGTTTCACCTAGGCGGAGCGGGCGACGATGAAGTCACTGGACAGTCTGGTGTAAGCCACACGGTCACTGCTGGTGTGTCAGCGGTGCTTGTATCCCTCCTTGTTGGCCATCTTGTCTTCAGGACGATCGTCTGTTTGGGGGAGACGGAAAGGACTTTATGAATGCCGACAATGGCGATGACTTTTTGGTGAGGAGGCAGACCAAAGCATATCACCTGCAGTCGCACAAGCTCTGAGCTGTCTCCCACTGATGGATGCAGGATGGCGGTCCAGGTGACGACAACCTGTCCGGTGAAACCGGCACCGATCGTGTCAAAGGGGGTCCACGTATGAGCGCACTTGTGCAGTTCAAATTATTTATCACCGTGTCTGTCGCTGCCAGGCGACGACTTGATAATCGACATGGATGGAGATTTCGATGACACGATGATGGGAGGGCCGGGGGCTGACATATTCCTTCTCCGGGATGACCTCGACAAGGACAAACAAATGGCACAGATCCAAGGCGAGCAACTGGCCACAAAGAGGCTGAATACATGTCACTGCTTTTTGCCTAACTTCTTTATTCCTCATCAGACTTTAACGACGCCGAAGGCGACAAAGTCATCTGCTTACGCAACGAGAATGCGGAGAACGACGACAAAGGAGAGCAGAGCGAGTAGAGTCCGCGTGTTTGTTTCGGAAGCTTAAGAGTCTGTTAGTTTGAGGTGTGTGGGGTGGTGGTCACGGCCTCGCAAGAGAGGCCGCAAGACGTGTACGCCAAGCTGAGGCAGGCCAAGGCCGTTTGAGACCTGACTGCTTCAATCTGATTGAAAGAAAGTGATCTGTGTGATTGGTGACGAATCGGATTAGTGATCTTTATCTTCATCCGTTTCTTGACTCCCCCGCCCCCAGGGTTCTGACAAGACGACGCTGTCCGCAGCACACTTGCGGGAACAATAAAGTGTGTTATGGTCTGTCTACGAGCGGAGGTTGGTGATGGTGCGAGTCTCCGCGATGTTGTGTGTCAGCATCTTGCCTTTTGAGCAGTTCGGAGCCCTCCCCCCGCCATCTTCTGCAGGGGAGCAGTGTCGGCACTGCCGACAATGACACCGCCCCCACAGGCCAAGACATGGCCAGACAATTCAAGACGATCAAGTCTGTTCAAGACCTCATCAAGATTATTGTCAAAGACACTGAGAAGCTTCGTGAGGCCATCTCGGAGACACTCAAAGACGGCAAGGACAGTGAAGGTGAAGAGATGCGGAAAATCATGTGGACCATCTTCCACACTATCCGCCAATCCTATAAGGCGACCAGATTCAAGATGGCGCGAGATGCTTTTCCAAATGTTGCTCAGCGAGGCTACCGACGACATGAAGAGAAAGTTGAAGAGCATCAGCAGCAGCGAGGCGAAGACGGAGGTGCCGTACCACTGCACGCTGGCCGCATAAAGTGAGCGGCGAGTACTGAGGGAACTCAGGGAGAGGATTGTGCGCCATTGTTATGGGTTCTTTGTGTGTTATTGTGCGCCATTGTTATGGGTTCTTTGTGTGTTAATGCCTGAAGGTGTACCTGTTTTCTCTCGGATTTCAAAGGGAATCAGTACCCGGCAGTTCCGACGATCGACTTTGCTACTGAAACCGGAGATGTAAGCGAATGACCTTTTCATTCTTGCTTTTACCCATAGCATTGGATGGGCTGGTGTTGTCGCGTGTTTCATAGATGACTTAAGTGTACTTGAGTTTGCTGCCTCGGGTCGACTCGGGACACTCGAGCTGCCTGATAGAGTCGAGCGTTCCGGGCTCGATAAGATGCGTACACTGTCGATTGGTGCACATATTGGGGCGTGTGTGAGTGTGCTTGCTGGGTTTCATATGAAGAGGGCGAGCAGTGTGAAGTTTACGTATCGAATTGACGACGGCGGAGACGTGGTAGTCTCGACGGATGCGAACGATCCGTGCGTGGTGCCATTCGAGTGCTCAGGCGGCTTTTGTACGTGATGATGAAGTCGGTCAACGATACCCGCAGCTGCTCACCGACGAGATCTAGTGAGGAAAAACAGACATGTGTGAATGGAAGCAGAAGGCTGGTGTCAGTGGGTGAGGGAGGCCGATGTGATATAATTGTCTTTGATCACAAGTTGCCCTTTGTTCTAAGTATCCATTCGAAACCCCGGCGGTAGGTGGGCCGGGGGATGCACACGACAGCTCCAGTCCTTTCTTCCCTTTTTCGTGGAGGAACGACAGTACATGCGTTAACCATTTATTGAGGGCTACATGCATGCATAACTTTGAGTCGCGTTGCACCACAATCACGCTTCAAGACGAGAACCGACAGCGTCGCGTCGCCCTCCCGATGGCCCTGCCTCCCCTGGATCTCGCTCGCAGCCCGCTCGACCTGATTAGCCGTTATGTCGACCCCCACAAGCCAGGTGAGGGCGCGTCTACGCGCGCCACCTCGTTGAAGGCTCCTCCCCTCAGCCTTTTTTAAAGTACTCAAGCCGAAGGGAAAATACTCAGAAGCCGCAAATCTGTGGAAAAATATTTAATGCAACCGGGCCTGACGTTTTTGCTGTGGCTCGCCCAGTGGGCAAGAAGCGTCCGATCAGGGTTTGCTGCTA